CGGGGGGGGGGGGGGTCCATAAGATTGATTTAATCAATTATTTGAGGTTTCTGAGGTGCGTCCACCCCGTCACTTAACTTGCTAAAGCAAGAGCAACTCCAGCTAGCTAAGGCTAGCTTTCGTGATAAGTGCACATAGATCCCTGGCATCAATACCTCAACTCATGTTGAACTTCATCCACTTGTTCCTTTGCTCCAAAGAACTTGAACTAGCTACCTACATACGAGTTCGTGTTTTTCTGACAATACTCTTTCAGAATGACCTTGCAAACGGACCTACTGACTTCATGGTCTGCTTCCGCCTCTCCGGAAGGGTGCACGTCCTTCCGCTGGCTGAGGGCCTGCTGAGATCCAATTCATCGGCACCCACACCGCTTTGTATACAGGAATCAGTCCATCAATGACACACACTACAGTGTCACTACACGAAGTGGCACGAAACATCTTACATACACAATCACTCTGCGTGTGTGTGTTCTGTTTATGCGCTGTGGTCAATGGTGGCTGCTGTACATGCTGCAATACTACTTGTTTATGCTCACCAGCCAGTGAAAACATGCACTAAATCATTACACAGGAAGTGGCTTCCCATTACGGAGCATGTTGAGTTTGAACCCATGTTTTCAGAATCAAGTTGATCCACAGAGTTGAGTTGTTCCCCACGACTCTGCTTGCCTCGTCCACGATTGAACGTGCCGGCAGCCAATGATTACTGTAGCCTCCCACAATGTCACAGAGCTCCTCAGTAAGGCCAAATGGTCCCAGGGCAGCACAACATGAGGAAGTTGCTCTTTTGGAGTCGAGTTCAATTTACTGAGTGTACCATGTCTGAACACATCCAGTGCCAATCAACAGAATCCAGACATATTTGATCTCATCTAAATCTAAACCTATCATCTAATTCGATAAATCTCTCGTTCTTGAGAGATTTGAATCGTTGATTCATGTGACCCCTCCTTGGCTGCCAGGAGCAAGGCCTCTTTAAAGCGTGTGTTCTCAGCTGCTGGATTGTTCTCCTCCTGACGCAGTGGCTTCTTGGTGCCAAAGTTGCTCAAAGTGCACTATTACCTAAAAACAATAACACAACGTACTTCGAATGATCCCCGGCGATTTGGAAGAAGGCGTGGCAAATGTATTGACACACCATCCTGACAAACGCTGCCTGACATGTGCACTGATACAATGTTCATTTGATCTGGCATCAAGTCTACTATGTGTTTTGACACATTTCTACCTGAAGTCTGTTCGGGCATGTGTTCTGAGTTTCTTTCTGGCATGTGTTCTGACACTTGTCCTGCCATCAAGTCTCACATGTGTTCTGACATATCTTCTGGTATGTACTTTTGGCACGTGCTCTGAAATGCGTTGTGACAGGTTTAACTTCTGTTCGGATATGTGTTTTGACACTTGTTGTGTCACGTATTCTGACACTTGTTCTGCCATCTTTTGTTCTGATATGTGATCTGACCTGCGTTCTGCCACCTATTCTGACAAATTATTCCTTGCATGCCTGACCGTGCGACGCCAGCCCGACGCGCTCCGAGCCCCATCCAACACGGCGCCGTCTATGCGTCCCTCAAACGTATCACTCTGCGGTCCGGGGGGGACAGGGTCATCCTACGGAGCCGCGAGATTGTTGCGGCATTCGTTCGGGCATGTGTGCTGCCTTGTGTTTTACCGTTTTTCTGCATGTTCTTACATCTTCTCTGACACATCTTCAGGTATTTGCTCTGATGTGTCTTTGGACTAGACCCAAACGTGCTCCCCGGAAAAGTCAAGCACGCTCCACTACTGTCCTAACCCATAAGAGTCCAGCGCGCACCACTCCATCCTGGAGCACACCATACTGCAAAGGAGCAGCCGGAGGAAAGGGCGGAGGAGGATGACGAGGAGGAGGCGGGAGGATGACAAGGAGGAGGAGGAGGAAGAGGAGGTAAGTCGGCAGGCCTGAGCTGAGGCAACATCTAGAGACCCTCACCTACCGGTGGGGAAATAGAAGTACTTGAGACCCAGTGCTGGTAAGACGAAAGCTAGGGAATCGGTTACAAAAGTGTGTCACCGTGTGCTCTTGGTTCAAGTATGTAATCAATGATGTCTAACCGCAACAGCCGGCTCACCGTTATCTCACGTGAGGGCGGGTTCTAGTGAAAAATCACTGTGCTGGCCTCAGGCCTGCCTCTCTTGCTAAAGCTTATAGACAGCTACCTGATGTTGGCTTTCATGACTTGGGCCTGACAGATCGTTCTATATAATTCCAAGGTGGAAGGCATTTCACGAGGAAAACTTCAAACATGGAACGGAAATCTCTACCATTGAGTTGGACCACACTGTTTCGTTCTTGATTTCAATCAAGCGCAGTCTTCAAGGTCGGCTTGTAGTGTGTAGCGAACATACACACGGTAGATGATCTACAGTGCTTTGGCAGGCACAACTGTATTCAAGAATAGAGTTACAAAAACAGGACGCCTCTCACTTATGGCTGCAGATTGTTCAGGTCCCATTAACGGGTCGCAGGTGACTGACTGCCCTTTATCAAGTGCAAGAAGGTTGGCCCAGCAACTTCAAAACACCTGACGGGTCTCCTGCCAACTGGGATTCAAGCGTCCCACACGTGCCCCCAGGTGGGTCACGAAGCGGTATCGCGGCTCATCTGCAACCTGATGAAAAAGCACGTCCTCTCACCACTCGTCTGAAGGATATGTATGTTGATGTATGTTGACTATAGTTGCCGCAAAGTAGACAACGAATTGTTCCATGAAAGGAGCGTCTGGGATGCACAAGAGTGAACATGTCAAAGAATCGGACAAACATCACAACCTCGCAAAGTGCGGACAACCATTTATCCATATCTCTCTTTTTTTTTGCCCAGGGGGTAGGCCGGTAGAGGTAATAGCTAGGTAGGTAGCTAGTTGTAGCTAGGTAGCTAGTAGCTGACTTAAGCTACTAGAATGGACGCAGGATAGCTCATGCTTCTTCAAGGAAGCTCCCCCCGAGGGTGCGGGGGAGATTTTTTGAAGAAGCGCTCACACTATTCATTTGCTTCCTAGATCTAGAGAAACTTAAGATATCCAGGCCTGGACGCCATTATCCAAGGCATCGAGCTCACGGATCAAGCTGTCATAGGTCTTGGCCAATATAGCCGCCTGCAGTCGGTCTGTCTTCAAAGAAAGGACAACTGTGTAAACCTGGGAGATCCGCATGGCAAGGCCGCTACTAGGGGCGCTCCTGGCCTTACTACTGGGAACAATGTTCGCTACTAGTAACAAAGGGCATCGCTACGAACGGAGCAAGGATGCTTGTGATATTGATGTTGATCATCAAGACTTGAGGCCGCTTGAGGCCCAATGCTGGTAAAACGAAAGCTAGGGCAATCGGCTACACAAGTGCATCACCTTGTAATCTGCTTCAAAAAACCAATGATGCCACTGGCTTCTCACGTTCAGCTTACCGTAACCTTGCACTGACACTGTTTCTTGATGACCTACTCACAAAGTCTTTTTTCAGTGCGCGATATGTTTTCTTGTTACCACTGTTTCGTAAAAAGTCATATTTCACACTCAAAACTGCATTTCCTGATGCCTGGGATTTCTCCTCCAACGGACCACAAAGTGCCTGGACCACCTGGCAGGGCAGCATTCAATGTTGGAGTAACCTCCAACGCCTCCAACCATGCGCAACTTTAATTTGCCAGGAAATGTGTTGGTTCGTCAACTCTTCATCATACAAATTGGTGGCATTGAGAGGTGTTGCTGTCCGAACCTATCTCAATTCTGTCATGATCTGGTTGACTGGTTGAGCACTAGGAATTCACTGAGCCCGTGCTTTGCACCTGGGCCCCAAAGTGCTTGAAGACCAGCCCGGCGCTCGAGAGCTTGATGCCGCTGTAAGCCTCACACCAGAGGAGATTGGAAGCATGGGTGATCGAAGTCCAGCTGCTAGCTAGATGTGATTCTGGGTCTTCTTTTCTTAATCTGCCAGAACTTTCCTACACATCAGGACATTTACCAAATACCTGGGGTGCATTGTCTTCACAGTCTCGGCCTCAGACCCAACACCCATAATATATACATATATATATATATAATTCCAAATGAACTTTGCTATGCATGCTGTATGAGCATCCTGCTTGTCAAGCAAGTTAAGTCAGCCTCCAATTGAACCGTTTCTTGTGCCTCCGAGTAGGTCTCTGTGAAAGTCTTCTGGTGATGATCAAAGCGTTGCTTCTCAGGCTCATAGGTGCCACCAACGTCGACCACGATCGTCGCCTGCATCAACAAAATGATTTGTCAGGTGCCCAGTGCACGGTACCCCGTCGCCTGGTCAATCTCCGCAGGGTCCCGGGTGCGCAAAATGGGCAGTCCTTGGAAGTTCTCCAGACCTCACCAAGCACAGGTCACCGAGATGATCGAAATTCTTGGGATTTGATTCTTCACCCAAGTTTGATAACAAAGGCTGGCTTGAAGGCAATCCCAACCATCAAACGAATGTATCCAGCAAAAGCTTACAAAGTAAAACAACATTCAGGGCATCCACCAAAGGGGATCTTCACCGAGTGGAGAGCACTGGACCCTTGGACAGCCTTGAATACCTACAACATTATCTGTGATGTGAGGCAACTTGAATCCTCTGAGCGGCATTTCAGCATCGCACAAGCCATGACCTCCAGGCAGGCTCAACGTGGACGCCAAAACAGCCACAACAATCAATGATTGGCTGCATCGAAGGCGGCATGCACCCACAAGGGGCCATTAAAGCACAAAACGATAAGGCCTGCGAAATAGAAAGCGATGGTGAACAAAGAAAAGACCTCTAACCTGCATCTGCATCAGATTTACCATGGGGGTTTGGAAGACCTCAAGCCCGGCCTCATCAGCATGAAAGGTCCCATGATGAGTACAAATGAAAGCATCAAGGCCTTGGCGTGTTTTGTTCGGAAGCTGGAATTGTTCTTTGAGTGGCAGTTCCAGTGTCGAGGAACTGCTGAATTCTTGAGGGAGGGTGACAGTGGTCGACTCCAAACACCTATCTCGCAGGATCTCCTCCTGTGTTCTTGCAGTTTAGCATTGAAGGTTGATGCTGGATAAGGTTGCGGCCTCATGTGGCCAAGGACCGCAAGTCTGCAAGTAGCTGACCCCGTCAACGCTTGGCCAACCCCAACTCTGAGGCCCCGCCATCTGGCCGCTTGGCCAGCACTTCTGTTCCCTGCAAGTCGATCCATGGTGACGAAGAACGCCCGGTCGGGAAGCAAGTCACTTTAGTCCCAACACTAAACAACCTGCAACTGTCAACAGACTGGTGGATTTCGGGTGAACTTCCTTGTAACAATGTTTGTTCATTGCATCTATATAATCCCGAATCAACAAGTGAAGTCGCAACACCACTCCCGGGCCTCCAGCTGCGCACTCAAAGACTCTAAGGAGACTGTGCCAGGGCCCTTCTGCCTCTTCGCCATGTCTCCAAAGACCGAGCCCATGCGCGGTGCTGGACCCTCAGTTGCCGTGAACTGGTCAAGCCTCGATGATCTGATCTGTTTGTTGAACTTGCTGCTTTCGGTGTATCGAGCTCTGTTCTTTCCAAGAAGGCCAGAAAGCTCGGCACAGCTCCTTACCCATGTGAATTGCAGTGCCCCCCACAGCTACCTGTCATGTTTTCATCCCACATTTAGGAAGTCAAGATCTGAGCCCAATGGCTGAAACGGCCCTGGTGCATTCTGGTTCCCTGCGCTGGACAGAATGAAGCCCACAAACATACCCTGTTGTTCCACAACATGCAACAGCAGAGCAGTGGCATCAAGCCTAGCCCTGATTCCTTCAACTTGAGATCAACTGACTTCTTAACAAGAGCCCTAAACGTTCTACGCAAGCTGCACCGCAATCCACGTCCTACCTCTTTGGAGCTAAACCCTAAAACACAAAGGCATCCACCTCCAATCCGGGGATTCAAAGGTTGCAATGGTCAGGAGCTTTAGATTCTGATGAAAAGAGATCTTGCAGGACAAAGAACACCAGCCAAGCTTCACTCGTGAGGGTCAGCGTCTCCCGGTCGAGGTTGAGCGCTTTGAGTAAAATCTCCAGATTCAGTTCACGCCTCAAAACGCCCTGGCATCCTGAATGCCGGGAACGCTGGTGTCGGGCTGCCAGCGCCAGGCCCAACCCCACCTGCGCCGCGCCGGCACATGGGCCACGTGCGCCACGTGCGGCCGGCTTGTTGACAGCTGGGAGGTTTTCACTGGGCGGGCAAATGCTGGTGATGGCGCACGGCCCAGGCGGAGGAAACAACGCCATGGCAAGCAGAAACTACCAAACACGGTGCTGTGGTTGACGGCTGATGTCCATTTTCTCCGGCCTGACTAAGGCCATAGAGCTATATACTTCTTAGCTCATTCAGTTCAAGGATGGGGTCTAAAATCGAGTGTTGCAGGTCTTGTAATTTTATAACTCTTTTCTGGGTAAACTGTTCTCAGCTGTCCAATACTTGGCTTTTGACCTTCCAGAGCCCTAGGATTGCCACTCCTTGAGCAAAAGCGAAGCTTTCTTGGATGTGAGCTGGAACCACTTTCCCAGCCGGTTTCAGTAAACAGCACCAGCAAAAGGAACAATTGAATTGGTGAGTGAAATCCTGAGGGCTGATGGGCTCCCACGCAATCACGGCCACAACCACCGTCAAGTCAAGGTTCAAGGCCACGGGACACGGCGTGCCTCAGTAGCTCTATTGGAAATGATATCTGTTTGGAGTTTGAAGAGGAAAAATGCATAGACCTTGAATACTGGAAACACTTACTGCACGATCTGCTGCCAGCATGGTTTCATGATGTCCTCTGATCTCCCTATGTCAGCGTCACCACTCGTCTGCTAGCAATGGGAATCACCATGCAAGTACTCCTCTCACTAGAAAGTCCGTTGGGCATTCAGGTTCCGCAGACATCCCCAGCTTCTCATCACTGCTCCAGGGCCCGAGCATTTGCGACTCACACTGGATTGCAACACTGGCTACATATGAATGCCAACATTTCAGTGTTCACCACAATACAGCGCTCCCCAGCTGCTATGATTGCTCAAAGAGCGTACCGCTTGCGTGTCGTTTGGCATTTTCTCCAAGGGCCTGGCTCCTGTCCGTGTCCACAAAGCAAGTCCATCACCAAAGACGTCCTGTTTAGGAAGCCCAAAAACGGGCTGTCTGAGTCTATGTTTCTGCACACTATGGCCATTGTCTTCTTTACACGTCTGCATTCTTTTCTGCTTAGCACTTGGGCAGTCAGAGTCAGAATAGTATGTCTAGCTGGATGTGGTGTGTTTCAACAAGCCTGTGTTTCAACAAGCCGAGCATCAAGTGAGTCGAAGACTTGACTTCTAGACTCTAGACATTGGACCATTGTTGACATGACTCTCATTCAAGCCTTGCAGTTCTATTCCAGTATGGTTGTATTTGTAGTTCTAACCAGAAGAATATCAGCAAATGTGGGAATGACAGAATGACTCGAATGGAACCAGACCAAGAACGAAAAGGATAGAGGATAAATAACAAGAGGAGCGTGGGCTGGGAAGCATGTCAACACGTTTTCCCCGGAAAGTCTGATAGCCCGCACAATGAAGGCCTTTGCAAGTCTACACAACTGAACACCGACACCTGTGTTGACGGAATTGTGGGATTTCGTCTTCTGTCGCGCCAAGCGGCCCAACAGGCTGGTGAAGGCTCCGACGGGTCCGACAGGGTGCCGGCGGTATGCTTGTTCTAGTAGCGATGCTTCAATACTTAAGTCTTTTTTGGGTTTTCCACAAAACCAAAGCCCTTCAGATTTCAACCGATTCTGGCAGTCAGCCAATCCTTCATCCCTTCAGCATGAGGCCTGTGACTCTGGATTCCTCGGATCTCTGCCTTGGTGCTCAATGTGATATTGATCACTGAGTGTGCTTGCTATCTTGACAGCAGAGTCTTAAGATTGTACCATCTTGAGACATGGGGACCCACAACGAGGGCACTGAATAGTCCATTCATTGTTGACCGACTGATCAACACATTTTTGTGAACCTTTGTGCTCAGCGGCAGGGCTTGAGGCCAACATCCCAAGAACCGCTCGCACCGGCACAGTCTATGCTGTCTTGTTTTTCAGCAGGGGCATTCAGTGATGCTGACAGTGCTTAGTTGCAACTCTGGAATAATACACTTATGGCTTGGAGGTGAGGCTGGACTATCATCGGGAAGCCACTATCAATACTGCTTGCATTAACGCCATAATGTCTTTCTAAGGGAAGCCAAAAAAGGACCAAACGTCAGCTTCTTATTGGCTTGAGCCGCAAGCAAAGCGCTTTGAGCTCATGCTCCAAACATGTCATGTAGCTTGAGCGCTGATCCGATCGTGGCACAACAGGAAGGGTCACCAGTCTCAACACCAGTTATTGGAAAACAGAAGAACTCCAATGCAGCTTCCAAAAGCTACTAGTAACAAGGGCATCGCTACTGGTAACAAGAAGCTTCCAAAAGCTTAACTGATCAGATCCGATGTGTTCAGAAGGGCCTATCACGCCCTTCCCTTCTTGCAGAACTGTGGCCTCTCCATTGATAATACTGCAGGTCTGTCCATTTCAAAATAGACCAAGGTCATCGGTTCCTATTGACTCACACAGGCGGGTTGCCACCTTGATTTCCTTCTTCGACACCTCTTTCTTTGCCACGATAGAGCACTCGACCCTCAGCAAACAAGAATTTCCTGCCCAAATCTGCGCTGTGAAGGATGCTGGGCCAGTCTTGCTACACCTCTTCACTTGGTCTGGTTCCAAATAACTTAGACGTAGACTTGCTTTTTAGAGCTCGAAATCTCTAAACCTGTTGATCTCTGCGACGCTCTTCATCCAATGACAGACCTCCTGGGCCCAGGCAGGGCCACCTCATCGTCCGACTCCACCAGGTCCACAGTCTTCAGCTCTGGCTTCACCTGTGTCCAGCGAGACAAATGTGTCGTGTCACCGAAGAAATGATTGACACCAAGCATGACAAACTCCAGTTGATTTGGGCGCTTGTTGGTGCAAGTAGAGAATGGCATCAGCAAACAACTAAGTATAATGCTGTTCATGGGCCTATCATGTGCGACCAAAGCCTGAATTGAATTGCATTTATGTAGGTTGGAGGCATCGCTCTTAGGTTGGAGGCCACCGCTATTAGGGTGGAGGCCATCGCTAATAGAAACAAAGAAAAGGATGAAAGGTCTAATTTAAAGTTTGCCTAGGCGCAAGGACGCTACTAGGGTCTCCTGGCCTTACTACTAGGAGCAAGAAGCTACTAGAGTCCTAGAGGCTCCTGGCATTGCTACTAGGAGCAAGGACGCTAAGAAAAGGAAGAAAGATCTAATCTAGTTTGCTATTAGGTTGGAGGCCATGCACACATCCTTCGATCCTTTGGCACCTACCTTGGGTGCTGGGCTCGTCACAGTCATGGCCTCGGTCATTCTCTCACCAGGTAGGTCAAGCCACTGAGTCTAAACAGTTTGCAGTGGAGTCTTCATACTTGAGAAGGAAAACGGCTTGAGGGTGTGTTAAGGACTGACTAAGCAGCGTCATCCGCTGGACTGTGGAGGACAGTTCTAAGCGATCGGCGATCAGCGATCATCGTAGTCAGTTATCTTCCCGCTGGTGATTAGAACTCAGTTGTTTGTGAATAGTCTTGTATATAATTCTTGTAATGAAAGTGAAAAAAGCCGGCGAAAGCTCCAAGCGCATTCGCATGTGCACACACTGGGAGTCCCAACAGCCATTCCACTGCATGGCACAGCGAAGGGAATGTCAGTCTGTCTTGACTTGGCGTGTCTCCCAATTGATTCATCTATGCTGGCAACACATCACAGGGGACTGTAAATGTGTGCTTGCGGGAATGCTCTCGGCTGGTCACAAGGCGGAGCAAGGTTGATGGCTCAAGCAATTCTGGGAAAATGCCAACCACTTCTGCTTCATTCATGAAGGAAAGTGCCACCTGGCAGGGCTTAAGGGTCTTAGGGTATTAAACTACTGCTATTCAGGTCCAGCTTCTTGTTAAGCCTCATGAACTCTTGCATCAGTGTTATCATTCCCTTTCTGTAAGTTGCTTGTCCAATTTGTCAGCTTGCCTTGAACACTATACGGTGCTAGTGGCAAAAGCGATGAAGAACTGACTGAGCAGCTTGCAACGACATTTTTCTGAAGATGCAGATAGAATTTGAATCACAATCTTGTTGGGGCTGAAACAAAGGTCGAAACTGGAACTAAGTGTGTGTGTGTGTGTGTGTGCGTGTGTGTGTGTGTGTGTGTGTGCGCTCGCGCAATGCTCCAATTCAACATGAATCTTGCCAACAAGGGCGAATCAACCACGAATCTGACAATGTTTACTTCGCACATGCAGGTCAACAAAGCAGATGTGAACCCAGAAACCGTCAGTTGAAAATAGTTGAAACCAAGAATGGCATCTGTGCGCTCTTTTTCATCTCATCTCGCAGGATCTTGCCTGACAAATCTGACAAGAGAATAGCTCTCCACTTGGCAAACATGTGGCAGTTCGCACAAAAAGAGATATGTTTGTTTTCAGCAGCAAATCGTGAGACACAGCGGGGTGCCAGACCTACAAGCATTCTAGGGTTTGCAACTTTGAGAACTTGAGTGCAAACCTTTCAGCTGATTCAACTGCATGAAGCATGTTCATTTCAGTCCAAGAGGCGGCGGCTTGCACAACTCGCACCGCAACTCGTGCCTGGTGCCTGGGACAATAGGTCATAAGTTGTGATTCATGATATGAAAGTTCGGTCCTTTTGGAAGAGGGCTTTGCGTCCTTGCTCCTAGCAGCAATACCCTTTGTTACTAGTAGCTAGTTGCTGCTAGTAGTAAGGCCAGAGCGTCCTTGCTCTTAGGCTTTGGTTTTTTGGGGGGTCGAGACCCCAAGATGCGACAAACGAGTCCCCGCACAAGAAAGCGAGAGATGATTGGCATCGAGTTCTCCCTCACAAGAAGAACCGCTCTCAACACTTTGTTTTGATGGGGTTGCGTTACACAAAAGCAAAAACCACAGTACTTTTGGATGACAAAATCAACGATTCCAAAGACTCAGTGACGCAGCAAGTCATCAACCAGCATTGCACTCGGGCGACCAGTTCGAGGGGATCATGTTCAACCTCATAAAAGCAAAAAAACATGAAGTTGCTGCCTCGTCGTTGTCACTTGCTTTGGTGATGTTTATCCAGTTAGCAGCTGAAACGATCGTAGCCTGATATTTTGTTGGGTTAAAGATTGAAAAGGAATTGAAACAGCCTTGCCCAACCCCCCTCTCCTGCATGGCTGCATCTCCCTGCGGGCAGCGCAAGCGGAACACCACGTAGCTATCAACTGCTGTGGCTAGGTAGACTGTCTTTTTTGGACCAAAACATTGCTGTTTTCTAAAATGCTTCGGGGGGCAAAACTGTTGGATATGCCTGTGCTTTCATTCTTCAAAATCCTCCTTTATCTACCCTCCGCAGTCAGAGTTTTGACCAAGTCACTTCAGAATCTCAATGGGGTTCCCATCTCACCATAAATATTCGCCAGCTATTGCAACAGCCCGCTAGCCCACAGACAGTTGCCAAGAATAGAATTTCACACCCGCCTTGACATTGCAGGCAAATAAGGATAGGCATTTTGCATTCTCCGCACTTCCACTTCCCCTGGTACATCTCCCAGGAGGACCCGCAAAGGCCTAGCTGGCAACTTGACATGGCACAACACACAGTCACTACGCGGCTTTGAAAGGTTCGAACTCAGAGCCTTATTGGGTAGACTTTTGAAAGGCAATGGCTGAAACTTGGATTCAACAACTCCAAGGTGTTTCTTGAACATGAAAATCGGCAGTCCCTGCAGGAACATCAAAAATGACTCTTATGGCCACACTTGGAACAAGATGGAACAAGGAGATCTCATTCACACGTACAGCAGGCTCATAGCTGCAGGTGCTAGTTGTAGGCACAAAAGGTTGACCTTCTCCACTACTAGACGATGTGCTGTAAGGTCTTAACGCTCTGGGTGTTTATCATTTGAACCCTAGGAAACTATGTCATGTTGTTCGGCAACTGGCAGTAGCCGCTCAATTTTTGCCCATTGCCAAAAGTACATTAGATCAGGTTCTAGCTGACCGGCCTGTATTAGCTTTCACCCCCTATCTATCTATCTATCTATCTATTACTAGTAGCAGGGGCATCGCTAGGTGCACCGCTACTAGTAGCAGTAAGTTACTAGTAACAAGGATCAATATACGTTCTTCAAGAATATATGTCTTGCAGTCCAGGAGCAGCACGTGCCCAGAATCTGTCTCTCGTGCTGTGCCTGGTGTGATGAGCAGCGGCAGGATGGCAGACTTGAGTCGACACTCAACGGCCACTTCCTCACACTTCAGTGCCTAGGTGGGATAAAACCTTGCTGAACCCAACCAAAAACCAATCATAGCTATTTCATCCATAAACCATCTCAGCTTCATCCACCTCCACCAAGACACTTGTCCATATCCCCGGCCTCACCCAGCAGGTCGTATCCTCGAACAGCCCGGCGGCGGTCAAAGACGTACATTGCGCCTCATCAGCATTCACCAAAGGTACTGTATGTGGACTTTTTGGATGATGAAAAAGAGGCGAGGAAATGAATAGCACAATTGTTCTAGGGTACTTTCACACCCACCTCCTTCCCGGGCCCTGCTTTATGACCAAAACCAAGCCATCTTGGCCAGAACAGGGTCAGCAAGTACCATTTACTTATTTCACAAACCAGAGTAATTAATTGGGGGCCTATACACAAAGAATGCATCTCCCAATTGTCTGCAAATCTCCTTTGATCACATACTGCCAGTGGTCAGTTTTGCTGATGAAAGCTGGGTGTAGACTTAGTGTCAACGATACTCTGAAAGCTGATGCAGCGAGTCCGATCTCTTGACCCTGAAAGTGATGTGTCTGTTCGTCAGGAGCCCCTCCACCTTGGAAGAAACCGCCAGAAGGGAACTTCTCCAGGTATCGATGGATGCCACCTTCAAGTTGAAAGACCTGCAACGAGTGAAATTGGCTGGAACCCGCAGGTCAACCTGCAAGAGCTGGCTTGTGAAATGATTGTAAAGTGTCGTGTGGTCACCACAGAAGCTACTTCCAACAAGTATTGTAGCTTCCTCCAGTTTTGAAAGTACTGCAGCATGTCAACGGCAAAATGTTGTTTTGCTTCTAATGAGTTGCAGGTAAGCCCTGTATATTTGGATACACTTGGCTATTCTCAGCAACAGTTCATACTCAGCCCCTTTGTTGTGGATAGGATGGATGGTGTAACTTACTGCTTTTCCCTCAAGCGCTGCTCTCATAGTTTGCACTTTCAAAGCCTTGAACAAATACCAGAACGCATCACGTTCAAGTCACAGAATTCCATATAATTGCCCTTTTGAGAGAATGGGACAGGAATTGCCCAAAACAGAATCATCATGGTGAAAAAACAGATCAAAGCCACACATGATGTGGTAGCAGCTAATTACTCACGAGATGCATGCCATTGAATGCCTCTAATTACCTCGTCTTCAACTGATCAGCTGATAGTTGCAGTATCTATAATCTTCATCCGTCATTTGGCTAGAACCTCTAGTGGTGGGGCATCGTCAGGTGAATTGACGCATCTTAGAATTTGTTACCTTTGCAATTATTTTAGAATAATTTGTTGATCCCTTTTGCAATCGCTATCGAGCACATGGACGGGGCAAGCGTGAGAGGGGCCTGTTAGGTTCTTTCAACACCACATACATCCAAAACAAAAGCGGCACTCCAACCCTTGGGTGATTTGACTCTCTCAAACAGGGTGACAGGGAAGTTTTTGTTACAACTTGACTAACGAAACCGGCCCTGTGACCTCAGCTGTCTCGCCAAGGTGGCTGCAAAGCAATGAGGAGGCACGCTCACAGCGGACACCACCCGTGCAGTACATCATCACCGTCTTCCCTGCACCAGAGTGACAAGAAGGTTGCACTCTGAAAGTGAGAGTCGATTCAAGACATGTGTTTTTTCTCACCTAAAGGTTGAGCCTTTCTCTGCTGAGCAAAGGCTACGATTTGGCTGGCAATTCCACAAAGAAAAACAAAGAACACAAAACCAGTTCCTTGTCTGGTGGTAACTTCTGTAACATCACTGCCATGCCATGCCCTACAACACACGCTTCATCCACAGGCACGTCAACCAGTGCACCCAGCTCCGCTTGTTGTAGGAACTGTTTCTGTATGACTTCTGACTGTTGGTGCACGAAAATCTTCACAGACTGCCAGCACACGTGGCAACTCCACTCCAACTCCAAAAGGACACCGTTTGCAAAGGATTGGTTCAAGGCCGCATGGGCTTTGTAGTCCGGATCTCCAGAAACCGCAAAACTCTTCGATCGCAGCAAGGCAAAACGGCTAACAGGTAGAGCACCTCGGTACTCTAACACCATAGACCCTAACTCCTTACCTTCTTCTACAGCCTTGTTGGGGAAGGGGCAGCTTCATATCACAATACCCTTGCAATAAATTTTACAGCTCAGCACCAATAGCTCCCGCAGAACAGCGGCGCATGTGAGGAAGCCACCATTTGATTTTCCAGAGATGAAATCGTTGGAGAACCCCCATTGCGCAGATTGGCACGGCAGGCAGTCACACCTTCGGGTGTGAACCTGCGGGCAATTTGGCGGAGGGCTGTCGCAAACAACGCTGGCGAGCGTTCCCAAAGTTGTGTTTCCTCTTGCAGCCTGCAGCCCACACTTTTGTTGTAGCTGACCATTGCCCACGTGATTGAGTTTCCTGACAATTTTCTTCACATCTATATATATATATATTCTATTTTTTTCACGACTCGCACGAGGGCAAACGGCCACTCAATCCGAGCTGCCAAAGTCAACCCAATAGCTAGTCCACTACAACGAGAGATGTGTGAACTCGAACCAACGGGTTGGTGGTCAGACCCTGGTTGAAACACTCACAGTCACGTGGTTCCAACCCAACATGGAGACATTGGTTCCAAAACCCTTTTCGATGTGTGCCTCTAGTGTCCACTTCACAAACCATACACTGCTACGAATGCCCCGTTGACCTTTCTGGGCGAGGGGGACAGGGCCTTTGAAGCGCGAGAGGTTCGACTCCTTGCTGAGGAAGCCAGGCACTTGCTCGTAGGAGAGTGTCTGAGGATCCACCGAGTCGACCACTCCTGGGAAAGTTAGCATCGACCGAAGTACCGACAGAAAGTGGAGTGGATTTTCACCCACTTAGTTTAAGCTTCCAGGAAATGTCACATAACGTACACACACAAAACCTCAAGAATCACACTGGTCGTCCCCCTAGGACAGCCTGGTGCATCTTCGCAGAAGCGACCAATGCGAGTCTCGTAGAGGTTTCCTGAGTCGAACCAAACAAGGTCGGGCCAGTGCTGAATGACTCACCCGATTTGGCCAACACCCAGAAGGTCTACTTCTCCCGGAGTATCTTGATGTGCCTTCACTAAGGAGACATGTAGTGCCTGATTGAGTTTTAAGGGGCTTCTCAACTTTGTTCCATCTGCAAAGGCTGAAAAGCAGTTCCATTTGCATGGCAGCCAAGACTGTTGTCAGACTCGTATCCTCCCTGCACTGAAACCTATATCCCCACGCTGGAAGCTCAAAACTCATGTTTTGGCACTATCAGCTCAATTGCAATCCAGGATAGTGGAAACTTGGCAAGCTTCGCACGTCAAAGAGCACCAAGTCCTTCCCATCACAAAGTTTCTGATGCCACTCCTGCAGGGGACGAATCAGACGAATCCCAGTGTCACAGGGTGGAGCTTTTCAGCGACAGCAATGCATGACACACACTCAAGATTATGGGTGCTGACTCGAATGCCGCTCGCCACACGCCCACCTAGGTATGAACGCCTAAGAAATCAGGTGAAAGGTAAAACACGAAACGCGAGTTGGGGCTAGTAACAGAACCACATACTACATGAACCACCATGAAAGCAAACCACAGCGAGAACAACAGGTAACCAGTTTGGCAGGTACGTTTACACGGGTCTCAGAGGAGGTGCGACCCCGGTGGCCCCCTGCTGAAAAAGAAAAAGACAAGTCCTTCAGGATCCCTGTGACTCCAAGGGTTACACACACACTCACACACACACACACTCACTCGGGATATGGTTCATTCAGTCTGCTTGCGGCTTGCCACAGGCCAACCTAAGTGGTGAGGTCCCTGGGTAAACAGGTATATAATACTCAACGACGGCAAAGTGCAAACCGATGCAAAGGAGGAACACGGGTTCTGGGTTCTAGATTTAAACGAGGCCCAAGAGGTAGTGTCAAGTCATAACTGACTGCAGGTACGCCAGACTGATCAGGTCTGCAAGTGTCTTCGTTGGCAGGTGTCTTGCAATGGTGCTCCTGCCCCCTGCCTCTAGACAATACAGGGTGAAACTGAAAAAGAAAAAACTTGCCAAATGGCAACCTGTGACTCCAAGGTGCACACACACACACAAACACACCGCAACAACCTTCTTCACATCTTCCCCACTCATTCCAACAGAAGCATCTTAGTAGCTACTAGGAACAAAGGGCATCGCTACTAGGAGCAAGGACCCTACTAGGGCTACTAGGGGCTCCTGGCCTTACTACTAGGAACAAGAAGCTACTAGGAGCTTTTTCTTTGCATTTGAGTTGTGAGGCCAAAAAACACCCCCGCCAGCTGTCTTCCCCTCAAAGCTTTCAGTCCTCCGGTGTAAGGTGGGGTGCTCGTGTGCAATTTGAGAGTGCCTCACAGAGTCTGAATCCATTGGTAAGGAAAAGACACTGGGTTTAGAGGGCTCCTGGGTTTCGGGTGGTGTTTCACTCTCGCGACTTGCGACCCAAGCAGTGCAAGTCAGTGCAAGTCCCCTTTCACAAAAGACATGGTGTGTCACATTGATTGCGCCAGATTTGGACCATCAATCAACAAGTGTGCTGCATTCTGAGGTGGCGAAGGATGGGCTGTCTGACCGAGAAAAAAGGATTCGGCTATTCGCACATGACCATGTTCGGAACATGCTTTGAATTCAAGAGGTACCTTCTGAGCACGAGTACGCATTGGAAGCTGGCACAGTCTTTCAGCTTCGTTGAACGGCAAGGTGAATCTCTTAAATTAATCATGATCATCAACTAAACTTCTATTTTTACAGAAAGATTCTTTGAGGCATTCTTCCGCTTGGTTGTTGAACGAAAGCTCGGGCTTTCAACACACTCCCTCGGCAGCTTCCACTGGAAGGGATATATACAGTAAGTCATTTTCCACGGGGATATGCGTCTCCCTTCTCTTCAGTTCCCCCCACTGAATCTCGCAGGTGCCAGTGGCGATCCAGCCTCGTACTCCTCAGCCCTATCCAGAAGCTTGCAAACACTTGTGCTCTCCCAAACCTTGCGAGACGCATGGCGAAAGCATGTGCACTGGGTGAGACTCGCAGGGCCCAAGTGGAGGGGAAGGGCCACGAAGGCAAAGACTTCAGGTTAAGCTCAGAGTGCTGAGAAGTCTCCCTTCATGCCAAGGCACTTTGACGCCTCGAGACAGCTCGCCCCTGCAAGTTCAAGCTGCAGTGAAACCGAAATCCTACAGCTCAACAAAACGGACATGATTGAGCATCAGATACTTCAAGGGCACAAAGCCAACACAAGTGCCGAAGACTTTCTGCAACTACTGACAAACTCAGCACAAGCCAGAATCCCAGCTGGCACAATACTTGCGCAACCCCACTGAAAAAAATGTCTCCCCACTGAATCATCACAAAAGAGTAGCTGTCAAATGTTCCCAGCATTGGAGTTCCTTGCGACGCTGGATCAGAGACGTGTCCTCATACTGCAAAAATGATAATGTATATAATGACTCTAGATACAATCCTCCTCCTCATCTTCCTCTTCCCACCATACCCCCGAAGCACTCGCTGCAGGGAGAAATTTTGAAGTCTGTTTTCTCGAAGACCTTGGGAAAGTCCGCTCTCAGATGCTCACAGTAGGACTCCACATCGCCTCAGAGGATCTTGCTTGTTTTTGTCAGATCCTGCTTGAAGGATCTTAACAAATTGCTGATGCACGGCAGATGGAATGGCTGGCAAAAGAAGAAGGACAATACCAGAAGAGAAAGCGGTATGCCATCTTTTGAGAGGCATGATCTTAGTTCGCTGATTGAAACCTATCGAATCAGCTGAACCCCGTTTCTCCCTTTCAAGACCAAACTTCTGACTCCAATCTATAATATGTGGTTCCTTTGTATGTAATCTTTTGACTCTTTCACATTCACACACGTGTTTTCCTTCTCCAGGCCTAATGGTCCAGTGATCCAACCATTTACTCCTTCTTGAGCCACTTTCATGCGGGCCTGCAAGTCAGCCAAAAGACAGCAACGATCAGAAACTGTTTCTTGCACATTCAGACACTACAATAATTTATATAACTTCTCTTAGAACAGCTCTGGGCTCAGCCCAGCAAATTAATGTTCGTTGGCAAATGCCTTGTTGGGTTTGTTGGGTAAGTGTCCTCGTCTTCGTCTTTGGTCCAGCGTTTTCACAATTCAGTTCGTCATTGTGGAATGGGTAGTGATTGACTTTGGAGTCAATTGAAAATTGTTTGGACATGCTGCAACCAACTGGCAACGTTATTCAGATCCACAGGCCAGCCTGGAGTTTCCGTGCCAGCAGGTCTTCACGCAGCTGTTGCACCAACACCTGTGCCGCCTGAAAGCAAACAAACTAAGTCATTTAAACATAATCCACGTTCAAACAAAGCTATTCTTTGCACCTGCACGGGCACCAAGTCATAGAAGTGAGCAATGCCATAGCGGCAAGACATGAGGAAGACTCAAACTACACCTCTCAAAAGCAGAATTCACTGAATTGCGTTGTTTCCCCACGTCTCAAGAGTTCGTGAAACCCGAACTCAAACCCCAAGAAAATGGTTTAATGTAGTAGTCTTGAATGGATGGCCACAATTTTTTTGTAGAAGTTATCAGTTGAATGACAAACATGAAGTATGTACATGTTGGCTAGTGACACTGGCACTGGGACTGCCCACATTTAGCAAATTGATCGTCAAAAAGTTTCGATCCTAAAACCAAGACTTCAGAGCTGCGCCAGAAGCTGCTAAGTATTCAAGTTGTTGATTGAGAGAGAGAAAGAGAGAGATTTTTAAAAAAATACACAGAGGGACAGGGAGAGGGAGAGGGAGAAGGCAAACAGATGCGACATCAAGAAAGACCTGGAAACCAACAAATGCCGAAACCGACAAACAAATAATACATTTAACAATCGACGGGAACAAACTAATAACCTAACAATGGCTAACGATGAAAGAAAGAAAGAAAGAAAGAAACAACCCCCACCAAAACAGTTTCTCACAAAACATCCCAGATCCTTTTGTGGTGCAGCAAAACTGGAAGTCCTCTTGTTTCTTGAGCCAGACGAAAGAATCGCTTTGAGTCCAATAGGAGCAATGAAACAAAGAAAACGGGACCGACACAAGTTTGCCAAGATCTTTGCCGCGGTTTTTGCAAACGAGTCGAACAGTGTGAACAGGATGATAGGCACCACAGGAACCTTCGTTTTGTCGTTTTGGAGATTGCTTGTGGGCGAGGGTCAGTGTTATCTGGAACTTGCCAATGACTTCACTGGGTGTGCTTCGAAGAGGGCAAGCCGCCTGCGAAGGTCCGGTGCAGACAGGGAAACTGGGAAGAGAGGACTGGGATGGGGAACTGGGAGCCAGTGATCCACCACCACCACCACCAGCACACCACTGTTTGAGGTCTCTTGCTTGAACAATTTCAAGGTGTCCAAAAAAATGCAGGTCCAGCTGGTTGACGCGTTGTGTTGCCTTAAATCAATGCATTTGCAACCAGTTGATGCCTTTGCAATCACGAAAAGTACACTGAAACATACTGTGGAGACAAATTGTTTGTTTGCTTCCTGTGGACCTGGTGATGCAGATGATACCCCAATGAAACTATCAACTTGCAGTTTAATGCTTCAGCACCTTTGGTGCGGGCGGGTTTTTGCATGTCAGCAGGGCGCACCACTTTCAGTGGTTGACCCAATGAAGCCGTTTCTTTCGTCTCGTTTGCAATTCGGGGGCGGAGTCTTGGTACTGTTATTTAGTTGGTTTGCAGTTTTCTTCAATTTTTCCGTCATTCTCTGATGCCTTCAAGCTTCCTCTGAGTGCCATGGAAGCAATGCACAGCTGAAGATGCAGTGCCCTTTTTTTTGCACGGGTGGAGACGCCATGTGTGCAGAGGTTGCACAGGTCATCTCATGCGGGCATTTTTGCACGATTTCGGACGCCATGTGTGCGGTGTGCACAGGTCATCATGAGAAGGATGGAGACTCTGCATATTTCTAAGGGGGAGCAAACCAAAAACAGAACCAAAACAACAACAACAACAACAACGACAACGACAACGACAACAACAACAACAACAACAACAAAAACAACTCTTCTTCTTCTTCTCGAACGCTGAGAGTGAGGTCTCGCGCCATCAACCATTGGAGTCTCTCTGCCAATGGGATCAAGGATCTATGTCATCATGAGCTCTCAGGATACCAAAAGGTGCAAAAATCCTGTGAGCTAAGTGTGAAAAAGAAAAGGGTCTCTCTCAGAAGCTGCGTCAGCGGCGGGGCTCCGCGGCTGGTCGGCAGCTAGCGTGGCTCAGCGGCTAAGCTGCAGGTGGGCCGCCAGCAGCAATCAGCTCAGGTGGCGCGCAGTGGTGTCATCAAGGACACTCGCCAAGACACTTTGGAGAACCCGGCTTAAGGCTGGTGCACCGTCCGGTGACAGTGGTGGTTCCTGAGTGTCCTCAGTGGTCACAGACGAGGTCGGTTGACCGGTGGTGACCTGCAGCATAGGCATGAGTGCACACGGCTCCGGTTCAAATCCGGAAGGTGAGTCCTGTGACATGCTATCCGAATGGGCCTCAGTGATCGGGATCAGCCAGGCCAGCACTGCCCTCTCAAGGCACCATTTGGGAGGGTGCAAAAAGAAGGATGGAGGTTCATGGTCCTGGCAGACATACCAGCCTTCAGTGCTTCTCAGGATGGCCCGAAAATGGCCTGAGATGCTCGATCCTGTGTGACACGCAATGCTTTGGATCCGGAACGCGGACCACTGAAGGTCCACGCCTTGGTCATAGAAGAATGGCAGCTCCGTGGTGGACAAACTGTCCAAACATTGGAAGTGGCCTAAGTACCGATGAAAACACACTTCAATGCCAACTGAACATGTAAATGCGGCTCTCATGCCATGGCCGTATGTCCACATCTGGCAAAGATCGGTCACAGTCGGGTGTGTGAGGTCAAGCTCATACAGTCCATCAAGTGCAAGGGGCTGATGCTTTCCTCCGGACTCTTCACAAATCACCCCATTTGTGGCGGAAACTCGGCGTTCCCAGTGCATGTCTACACAGTCACATTGGCACCAGGACAGGAGCTCGGCTGTGAATTCAGCACAGTCACGAGGTCCTGTTTCACTGGTGTGCATCAACAAGGTATGCAGCTCAGGCATGGTGGCAAGTGCAATCGCCTCTCCCCTTGGCTGTTGCAGTAAAGCGTGGCACACCGAGCTGACTTTCCCCATCTGACAAGGATCGCAGTCTCTTCGATGAAGAAGCGTCCACACAAAACTCATGAGGCTCGAGTTCAAGTAGCACCAATTGCTATCATTGCTCAAGCTGGTGTTCAAGATGGTCCGCAACAAGGCGGAGCTAGTCATGTCTGAGTTCAGCGTGCATGCCGGGGCATGGTGGCCTCTTGCAGGTCCTGGACCAGGCGGCTGCGTTGCAGACTCTGAGGCTTGAGCCGACCCGCTATCAGCAACCATGAGCTGTGATGGCACAAGGATCTGAGCAAAACCATGAGCGGATCGTTCCGCAGCGGCACTTGAAGTCGCCATGGAAAAGTTTCGCCCCGAGAGTTCTGACTGGCCATGGAGTTGAACCGAATGATGTTCTCCTGCTGGGACATCGCGCTCTGGAGGGCCTGGAGCTTTGTCTCCAAGTCGGTGCGACTCAGTGGAGACATCGTGGTCGAGGGCACTAACTTCTCCTGATCTCGGTCCCACATCAAGTAGGGAAGCATCCCGTTCGGCAACACAAGGAAGGAGTCCTGACTCGCTTTGAGGAAGCTCTCGTCCGATAGTTTGTTGCAGAAACTGGTATATCGCATCATCATTTGCTCCATGACTGTCTGCATCAGACATGCTCGAAGTGGCTTCGTCGGAGCACTTTCCTCCTTCCAGTCCTTCCCGGCCTGGAGAAGGGTCGGGACTATGCCCTGGTTCCCTTTGTTGAAGTAGAGCAGGAAGCTGTCCTGGGTGTGGATCGATTGGATCGAGTCCTCGTGTATGAGGATGCGGGCCATCAGGTGGCAGAGACGGTTCACGTTCTGCTCGCAAGGATGGTCGTGGGACACGGTTTCCTCCTTCATGCCACCCTTGTGCTTCTGTCTCTTGGGTCTCCTGATGTCCTCTGCTGGGTCTTGTGGTACGAGCATATTTAAGAATGCTGCCTGGAGTTGTGACGTCTTGTCTGCGGCGGACAGGTGCACCACCTCTCGTGAACCCGCCATAGGGTCCAAGCTGTGCAAGGAGGAGGCAAAGATTCAGAATTGCAACACACTTGTGTTGAACTTGAGCCCATGCGGCGCTGTCATCCAACCTGTAGGTGATGGTGTCCGTGCCACAAAGGGTACATGGGAGGGCATGTCCATGTGCCTTGACGTGAGTGGTCACATACTGTAAGAGATGAGGAATTTTTCCAATCAATTCGCCATGGAGGTGATATTGATGATCCATCAACATTTCAGGCGTGTGGAAAGTACGATTGCACATCGAGCAGCACTGACTGAGGGCCCTGCAGATGGATGGATCCAGCCAAATCTGAGCAAAGGTGCGTTGGGCAATCATGGAGCCAAGCGTGGGAGCCTGCGACATCAGCAGCGGGTTTTGCGCAATGATCTTCATGACCTCTGACTGTGAAGTCTCCCATGGAACCAATACTTGAAGTGGCCCTGGATTCAAAATATGATGCATCATTGCAATCTGTCTGTAGGCCAAACAACGGTGACTTCTACGTTGCTGTCCAGTTCCCACGGTTGGATTACAGCTGCATCCTGGTTGAATCTCTTCGATCAGTGCAGTGAAGGTCTCGGCGGCCTTGTGGAACGGTCCGTGCTGCGTCAGGATGTGCCTCATGAGGTCCGCTGCACGGCGCAGACCTTGGCCACACATCGCGCACGTGATGGTGAGCAACATCTTGTTGTTGGAACCCTCGAGAAAACGTTTCCATGTTCCCCACAGCAAGGAGTCCAGCATGGCTTCTTCTTGGCGTAGCACGCCTTGTTGGTCCGCCAAGTAGTCAATGCAATTGCATGACCCCCTGTTGATGTGCCTCTGCAATTCCCAGATTTGCTTGAAGTCTGATCCACAGTGACGACATTGTGGATTGCCTCGAACCGAGTCCCGTATACAACAGTACCGCTGATGTTCAGTTCGCAGGCGCTCATTCAATTGGGCGTCGGTCGAAAAAGTTTGAGCACAGTGCAAACATATGGTAGCGGAGCCTGAAGCAATGGCCATAGCCTGAGCGGAGAGCCAAGATGCAAGTTGAAATAATGTATTACACTGATGGCTATCAATGAAACATACTTGACAAAAGGGACACGGTGAGGTGCGAACTTGCTGAAGCCAGTCTTGATATATTTGATATGTGTGGGAGAGGGAAACCTCAGCATGTTCATTGGCAGCATGTTGTCTACCAGTTCGGGCATTCTTATGGAATCTACCACAATGGATACAATGACTCTGAAGCCAATGAAGCCACGGGGGATTCT